TGAAGCATTTTTTTTAATTCTTTTGGTTCAATCATTTTTTTACTATCACCAAAAAAAGAACGGTCAGTTCCAATTGGTGTTTCTGCTATTTCTAATAATTTCTTTTCTATCTCATTCAAACCTCCTTCTTTTAATTTCTCTTCCAACTCTTTATTTCTATTTTCTAATTGTTCCTGGCTTTCTTTACCCTCAATTAAAGAGTTTACTAATTCTAATAATTTAGTTCTGATTTCTTGGTAATGGGGGCGTAATTGTTTCCAATCTCAATGGGCAGCTTCCATTATTCCAGTCTCTAAAAATCTTTTTATGTTTTGATAATTGTCAGATTTTCAATCTTTTCAGTTTGTATAATTTAATAATTGTCTTTCGGCGTTATTTTCTTGGCTTTGGTCTTGTAAATCTTTTATCTCTTGTCTTAAATTTGCTAGTTTGGTTTGTAAAGCAGAGACCTTATTTTGTTCTTTTTGGATGGCTTCTTCATGTTCTTTAATGTCTTTATCCATTTGCTCGACTGTGAGATCGGTTTGAACTTCTTTTTCCACCATAGTTGGCTTTTTTAAAGCCTTTTCTAATTCCTTTTCTCAGCCTTGGTCTTTTTTAGTTAAAAGTTGTAAATATTCTTGTTTTTGAGTTTGTTCTTTTTCTTGGAAGTCTTTGATGGTTTGGGCTAATTGGTTTTCTTTTTGAGCCAACTCTCTTTTTAATTTGGCTATTTTATCATCATCTGTTTTTTGGTTTTCATTAATTTGCTCTTGGAGTTGAGCAATCTTTTCCTCTTTTTGGTCAATTCCAACTTTCAAATTGTTAATAAATTCACTAAGTTTAATATCATTTTCCACACCATTTTCTGACAAAATATTATTTATCCTTTCCTCTAATTTAACATATTTTTCTTTTAATTTTTGAATTTCTTCTTTTATTGCTTCATTGGCCATACCTACAATTTATTTTCTATGTTTTGGGCGATGATTTTAATTTCCTCGATGAGAGGCATAAGTTCTTCTAAGTTATTATTTTCTCATCCTTCTCCTCCCTCACTGGTGCTTTCTCATTCGTCTTCGGAGGAACTATCGTTTTTCTTTACTCTCTCTTGCGATTCTGTGCCTCAACTCCCCCCGCCAACTTCTTTTTTTCATTTACTGCGAAACTCAATAATATCTTGCTGAGTAATTTCAAAATCTTGCAAAGAATCACCCCAAAGTCCATTTTCTTTTAGCAAATGTTCAATATACTTAATTAGATAAACACCACAATCGTGTTCATTCAGTTGAGTAGATTTAGGAATAATATCGCGGATGGTTGGTAATTCTTCAAAAATTTTGTTGAGTAAAGGTATTATTTTTTCTTTCTCTTCTGCCCTTTTTTTATAAGAAAAATTAGAAGAAACAAAACAAACAGTGCATAAACCCCATCCTAATTTTTCAATGATAAACAAAACTCAATGATTACCTGGATGACTACTCAGAGTTAAAGGAAAAAAAGTATATTGGTGATTTTCAATGTCTTTTTCAACACTTTTAATAAAGTAATTAATATCCTTACCAGAATTTAAATTATTATAAGCCTCATAAATTTTATCCAGATCAGTCCTTACTTTTCAAGTCGGCGGACCTTTCGTTTGGCAAATTTCTTTAATAGTTGATAATTTCTCTCCCAACATAAAACCTAGTTGTTATTATTTTGATAGTTTTGCCAGCAGTTTAAGCACACATCACCTCCTTCAGGTAATTTCACCATTTTTACTTTTCAAAATTCTTCTTTACAAAGTTTGCAAGTTGCTTTTTCGTATTCCATGATTATTATTTATTCTTCGTTGTTGTCTTCTTCAACCTCTTCTATAGTTGTTAGAGGAGTATTTGCTCTCCATTCGGCCAATAGTTTATCTAACTCGGCTAATAAAGTAGAGTCCACAGTCCACAAAAATATTTCGCTTTCGAAAGTAATAAACTCTCTAGTAGTTTTACTCTCGCTATAAGTAGAAAGAGCAACAAGATCTTTCTTAGGTAATCAAAAATCACCATAATTTATTATTTCCCTCTCTAAAGTAAATTCTAAATGGTTCAGTCAAATACTTAAAACGCATGTTTTAATGGTTGCTAGTCTAGGAAAATCTTTTCGCCTACTTTCTTTTATATTCCCATATTTTTGTTTTTTGTCATCTTTATCGACAATATTAACTTGTAATCAATCATAAAAACTTTGCCAATCTCGTTTTTTGATTAATTGTTTAACTGTTTTTTTTTTTTTTTTTTGGCCTGAATAACTAATTTTTAATTCTTTGCCTTCAACTGCGATGTTAACCTCTAAACTAAACCGCAACAGAGCCACTACTTTAGCAAAAACATCTTTTTTATCACTATCATACTCTACATTATTCTGATTATAAGCAATTTTTGCCTCTTCATGAACTTTGACTAACTCTTTTTTAACAATTCCATTAAGAATCATTTTTACTTCTTCGCTAGTTATTCCACTATTTTCGATTAGTGGCAAACTCTCATTTATCTCTAATTTATCAGGAAATTCTTTTTGGTTGCTGACTCAAAAAGTAATCATGTCTCGCAAAATTTTTCTGCTTTGTTCTTTATCTACCGACCGAGGAGTTCATTCGCCGGTATGTCTTTTAACTAAGTTTTCATCCCTTTTTCCACCTGTAGCGGAAAAACTATTAAACACAATATCATAAATATTCTTAGTTCTCTTATCTTTAGTCTGTCCTACTATATGATCGGTAGTTTTTAATCCGACCAAAATAACTTCGGGTTCCTTGCCAAACAGTTCGCCAGGTAAGCCTAAGGCATTCCTTAATAATTCCGGATCTTTTAAAGAAGAATTGGTATTTTCAATATCCGTAGTATCAGATTTGGATTTTTCTTTATTTTTTTTGCCTAAGCAAGCTTTGATTACTGCTGAGCCTAAAGTTATCGTTCTTGTAGGTTCAGCCTCGCAATCATCAATTAAAATATAACCTCACCCACTCATAAAGCGACCAATCCGACCTCATTTTTGGATAAAAGAAGCCCAAGTAATATTAGAAGGATCTTTTTTCTCGTAAACTCAATCACCTCGCAGAATAATATTTTGTTTTCAGCCTAAAATTATCACTCTTTTTATTTTAAAAGTAAAGCACATCTCAAAAGTATCATCACCGAAAATTAGGGCATTTTCCACCGCAAAACTTATATCGCGAGCAGAATCTTGTAAAGTTTCATCTAAAAAAACATAACAAACTCCGGCCTTTTTTAAATCCGCTTCAAATTTGGTTTTAAATTCCTCAATATCGCTAATGAATACCAAAGTATTGCCCTTGCCTATATCATCAACCGGAAGATTTTCTCACCTTTCTTTATTCATTTGTGGCAAAAATCCATCCGTGTAAGAAATTGTGCGGGGGAAAGAACTATCAATAGAAAACTCCATTTTCGGAAAGGTAGCACTCATTTTTAATACTTTGTAACCATCTTTTATTGTCATATCAATTAGCGTTTGATAATCGCCCGAACAATGGGCTTCGTCAAAAATTATAATAGTGTTTTTTTTAGGAATTAATTTTTCTTTGATTCATTCCTCCTTCCCTGTTTGGGGATTTATTCAAGGACTACTCTTATCGCGTCCTTTTGTTCCTTCTCTAATAGTGTTAATATCACATTTGGCACGGGCTAAATAACCAAATAAATAAGGCCAATAAAGAACTGATAAGCCCTTATTGCCCTCATAAGTTTCACTATCTTGATTATACGAATAACATAATTCGTTTAAAGTAACTGGATATCCGCCATGGGATTTATATTCCTTAGTGTTGGGATCGATTATTTTGTGATAAACACAACCTCAATTTTGTAATCATGCTTTGTGGTGATTATCAGCAGTTTCCGCTGCCATGGCTTGGGTGGGGGTTACTAAAACTATATTCCATCCATGATCTTCTACTTCACGATTATCTTTCACTCATTTGCTTCTTTTAGCTTTGGTTACTTCATTATAATCAGGGAATAATTTATCATTCT